GGGCTCTGAAGTCTTGCTTGATATCCCTCAGTTTCTCCATGGCATCATTAGTGCCCACAGGAAACAGTACGAGGGGGTAATAGTCAGACTCCTGAACAAACTTTGGGAGCCTTTCTGTGACATCCTTCATTCGGACCCCTGGCAAGCAGCAGACCTCTCTGGATGAGGGGTCCGGTCTACATATCAGTGCCTCGTGCCCTGTAGCATGGAGTCACCCACAATGATCACCTACCGCTTCTTCCAGGTGCTCCTTTTTTCCTTAGGGGGAGCAGCCTTGCAGTGTGGACCTGAATGCCTCTCTGTAGCCAGCTCCCTAGATGGGCCTTGGTTCATGACCTTCTCTAACTGATCCCCAACTTCCAGGGCCTCGTACCTGTTGGATGTGGTCACAGGTGGAGGTGAGGTGGGCAGTGGAAGGGTTCTTCTGTCACCTCGAGTGGGGACCTGTTTCCATTGTTGATCGTCCCTCGATACTGTTAATTCTGCCCCCTCTGCCCTATGACAAGAGGGTACTGGATTTTCAGACTGAGTCGAGGGGTTCTCTGAGTGGCTTTCCTGGGAGGACTGCAGAACGCAGCTCCACCAATCTATTTCTTTTTCACATTCCCTGATGGGCCTCAGGCGTTCTACCTCCTCCTCCAGCTCCACCACCAGGCTGAGCATGTTGTCCACCTGCTCACACCCAAGGCAGGCTGTGTTTTCGCCACTCCCCAGTAACATGGAGAAAAGATCTCTGGCATTTGTTACCCTCCACTTCCATCAAGTGAGCAGGTTTGAGAGCAGGAGTGAGATGCTGTTTGTGTCCTGGTCCCAGTTTGTGGAGCACCTAGTAGTCAAGTAGAGCATGCTTTTCCAGGTGAAAAGATGTGTCTAATAATAACTTACCTAAAAAAAAAAAAATGTAGCAGGGAATTGAGATAGAGCTGTCCTACTTAAGACTATGATGAAACTTGGACAGTGCCCAAGTGAGGGATGTTCCTTAAGTTTGCCTCATTCCATGAAGAACATGTTTTTTCTTTGTGTTTTAAGGATCAGGTAGTGTGTGTGAGCAGATTTCTAGATGTGGAGTTGCCCCTGCATTTTCTTTTCATACTCAGCTATGTCTAGCCTTAAAATCTTCTTATGGAAATTAAATTATTATTAAATTAAAATAATAGCATTTGGTACTTCCCTAATGTAGAGAGTGGTGAAATGTGCTTGAACTTCAGATCATTCATCTTTATGTATTTCTTTTCTCTTCCCTCCACTCCCCTGTCTTTTTTTAGGAGAGGCAAGAAGCACAGTATGATTCTGAGGACCCAACTCTCAGTGAGAGTCCATGCCTGCATTGGTAAGTGAAGTTCCATATACCTAGAGAAAAGTGTGATTAAACCAAACAGATTTCTGAGGAACAAATTCGGGGAATATGAATCAGGCTCATGATGTTCTAAGTTAAGGATGATGGGCCAACAAGTTTTCACATGTGTCCTGTTTGATAATTTAAAAAAAGTTATAACTTAAAAGGTTATATTGGCTATGTTACTATCAGAATATATTAAATAGCCTTGGAAAGGATAACATTTGACAGCAGTGCGATGTTTGAGATGTATTAGAGGGACTTGAATTATCTGTCTTGAAACTGCTTTTTTGTGCACCTGAAGAAGGTTGTGCCCTGCATTGGGAAGGGATTTGATCAGGGTCTTGAAAGTACTGTTTTTTGGTGTTTTTTTTTTTTTTTTTTTGTCTTAGAAGCTTCAAGATGGCATAAACAGTAGCTGATGTGTCATGTAAAATTAAGATATTCTGTGCCTTCAGTGCCAGTGTTATGGAACAACATGTTTCATTAGGATTTAGTGGTAAAGTGTGTGTCCTGGTGTTACAGGTGACTTTTTAAGTATGAATTCTATTTTCCTTTTGTTTTAAACCTTCTCATAATAATTTATTTCAACAATGTAACATTTAGCTTATGATTGGTTTTATTTCATATCTGAAACATGAAAATATACACACACGTGTGTAGAGCCACACTAGTTAATATAAATTATATATTATTTGTATATTATGTGCATACATGTTTACATGTTACATAAACATAAACACACAAACACCCAGAAACATGTGTGTTGTATATATCAATATATATAAATCATCTTTAAAGAAGGAAGTAGTATCTCCATGATATTACTGTTGTTGGAAGGGTCAGGCTTCAGATGCAACTAAACTTTTCCCTGCCTCCAGGACACATTGTGAAATAGCCTTTATGGGATTTTGAACTGAGCGTAAGCAACCTACAGAATTTCTGAAATACTTCCCCTTGCGAGCAGTCTCTAGGCTGCATCTTGAGAGATAGCTGATCTTCACTACTGTTGATTTGAGGGACTGCAGTGGAGTGAATGTAAGCTCTTGTATGTATTAGAGGACATAAAGGAAATGATTTTATAAAAATGAATTAAATGAAAAACAGTTTAGAGAGGTTTGTTCTGGTTAAGTGTGGCGATATCTTCGGTAAATTAGACCACTGTAGCAAGAGAAAAATTCATGTTTTTCCTGGATTGAGTGGTGGTGTTTGTTTTTAATGCTTTTCATGTACTTTTTTTTAATCTGGCCATAGTGCAACAGTCTAGGAATTAAAGCACTAAATTTTGAATTTCCAGGTGCAGTTGCTACATTTCTGTCTGTTTGTACTTGTGTGTACTGGAGGTAATAAGACATGTTACTTCACATGGGTTTTTCTCATTGTTCTGGTAGGAAAATGTGCGGCTGTTGTGACAGCAGCAATGCACTTAATGCTGTGCATGGATGAAGCCCAGATGCAAAACATGCATCCAGCTTTTCAACTTCTCAGAGCTGAGGTGTGTTTGCATGTGGACTTTGGCTTGCTTCAGCATAGGCATAAAAGCCAAGTGCAAGATCTGGTTTTCCAGCCCTCCTTCAGAATTCTAGATTTTGAGGATGAGTTTTTGTATCGACCCTAGGCTGATTCTAATGTAAATTCTTTTCTTCATTTTTACACATTAAAAGTATCTTGTTTTTTGGTCTGTCTTAGAGTGAATGTGGTGGGCCCTCTCTGCAGTTTGGAGAGCTGGCTGGGTTGGATGAACTGCAAGTGCCCACTACATGTGCCATGCAGTAGGAAGGGGGTTTCACTGGCAGTGGGTACTTTGCTTGATCTTGTGTCAGCAGCTGCCTGTTACGTCTTCTTTTTTTCTGAATCCAAGCATTAAGTTTTGAGGCTAAAAGATATGTTTCATGTCTGGGGTAGAAGCCAGGAGAGAGAGCAATCCGAGCTAGTGTTATGTGGAATAAGAACATCTTGCTTTGGCTCTTTTCTTTCAGTCCCACCCACCTGTATGGGAATTACAATAGTCTTCACTATTGCCCTGGAAAATCCTGTGGTTAGAAACATTACTGACGTTAGAAATGCACAGAGAAGTTTTGGGAGATGGTGTAGTTTGTTCTTTAGTGTCTTTGCCACAGAGTGTACTGAAGGTTTTACTTTGCTTTCAAATGCTGACAGTAGGTGTAAAGAAACAGCTCCCATTTGGAAACTACCAGCGTTTTTCTTGTCTTGTACTTTGTAGTTTTTAATCTGTAGGAAATAAAGTGTTTATGTTCAAATGTCGCAGCTAAGTTTTCCATTAGTGACTTCTTCTCTCCTGGGAATTCATTGGGTTTTTAGAGTCAAAGGATGTATTGAATACAGACCAATATTTTGAGCCTTAGGAAATAGTAGCTAGTCCCATATCAAATATATCCACTTTTTTTTCCACTCCTTTTGTTTAATATCTTGAGGGTGGAAATTGTTAGCAAGTATGAAGTCTTTTCTGTCATATCAGATGACAAACATGCCTAAGCATCTCTCAATGCGTATATTTTGTCATCTCCTAATTTGAGTTCTTGTTGTATGTTCACACTAAGGGCTTTCTGTATCAAGGAACCAACTTTGGTTTAAGTATAGCTCTACTTTTCCCATTTTAGTTTGATCCAGATTGAGCTGTCATGACTAATTTAATTAAAACTTCAAGACAAATCTTGAGTGTTTTTTTTTTTTAATACAAGATGAAGTACTTACAATATTCTTATACTCCAAAAGACTGTTACTTATGCCAGTTTTGTTCACAGAACATAAGTTGAAAATTGTGGCTATAATCTTGACACCTCGCCTGCTGAAGTGAAAAGTCCGCAGGTCGTTTAGTAGAGGCAAATCATCCTGAGATTGCATAGCATTTTTTTCCCACATCTGCCAAATTTGGCCCTTTATTCCGATTGGATTTATTGCAAGTTAATACCCTGTGGGAAAAGATTTTCTGGTATTCTTGGCAGCCTTTATAACTTTCCTTATTTTTGTTTGGTTGTATCTTAATATAATTTTAATTTGTATGTATTTAACATTTACAGGGCTCATTCAAAGCCTTAATATTAAGTGCAGTGCAACCAGGTTGACCACCACAGCCAGAAACCTTTGCCCCTGGAACTAGTTGGAAGAGCTAAGCCAGAGCAACTTTTGACGACGAAGTTTTAGAGATCCACTGTCCCTAGACAGTGACCTCTTAGTTTTGCTGTGCCACTGGGCGGCTCTGTTTATCGCAACTACTGCTACCTCCTTATTTGTGCTTTATATGTCTGTGTTCCTGCTGCTGTGTTGTTTTTTTCTCTCAATTCGTGATAGTCTCCAATGGAAAAGGTGCTGTGTGTTCTTATGCATCTGCATATGCTGCTGTGAGGGAGTCCTGCTTCCTATCTTGAAACATTTATGTCCGTGGTGGTGAACCAAGAGTGGTGTTTCCAAAAAAAAAAGTCATAAGCTTTATGTGTTAATACCACATAATACAAAAAGAATGGAAACAACAAATTAGGCTTATGTAACTCTGGATTCATGTGCTGGCACATGATGGATCAGATACTGTAGCTTTGAAGGACACCAAATTTTGCAAGGTGGATTTTAAAGATCACTTCTTCTTTGTGTCAGTGACTCAGCTGATTATTTAAAATATTCTTCTGTTATAAAATTAGAATTTTCTGGGTATAGTTATTGGTCCTATCTGTACTTATGCAAAGCAGTGCTCTTTTCTATCTGTCGACTTAAAAATAATGCTTTGCATAGATATTTGTATGTAACAACTTTCATCGTTTGAACCCGCTTCGTCCCTAAGCAATATATGAGTATATTACTTGATGTGGATTTCCTGAGGTGCTGTGTCTAAGAGATCTAGAGCATATCTTTCTTCCGCAGGTGCTCAGCTGTGAATCAGCAGAGCTGCCATCCCCTTCAGCCATCTGTTTCTAACCCCTGGTATTAGGGCATAAGCTGTTACTAACAGTGTTACCACCAGTGACCCATCCTTTCTACATAGCTCTTTGGATTGTCTTTTTTTGTTATCTTCTTGTTCTTGGTACATCTTCTAAAATATCTGTAAAAATCTTCTTGAGCTTTATGTATTCTATGATACCTGAGAGAACCAGTTAGCTGGTTGTTTCTGCAAAGCTAGCAGAAGCCAGCTGCTTTTATTTGCCCTTTAATTGGTGAAGTATGCACCTAGTGCTCTTTTTTATGTACGTTCTTCCTTTCTGTTATCCATTCCATTGACTTGTTGAATGTAGTAGAGTAGATGAGGTTAGGTCCTGCAACCATGCATTTGTATATTGAACCTTCCTATATGATCTCTCTCAAGCACCAGGTGCTTGAGGCACAAGTTCCTTCCCTGTGGAAGCGTAACACTTCGCTGAAAACAAAATCCAGTTTTGAGTCAGTAACTATATCTAGTATTTTTGTTGCAGTGAATAGTATGATTCTAGTTAAGAACATAGCTCATTACCTGAGGGCATAGTTAAGCATTTGCCTGCTACCCATGTTGCTGATGCTTTCTCATTTGAGATGCTTCTTCCTGGGTTATAATCTTATTATTGTATTGTATTTGCTGTATGTATTTCAGTATGTTTAGGAACAAAGCATTCATATTGATGAAAATCTTTAAGCTGTTCTAGAAGCTCCTGAGAGTTAAAAATATATATATTTCCGAAGAATAGCATATTGAATTTAAAATAGACATTTTTGAGGGGTAAGGGAATAAGGGAATCTTCAATATGCAGTAAGAAAAGGATACTGTAGGACAGGTTTTTAATTGGACTCAATTTGACACTAGGTTTTTCTTTGAGCTTTTCACTTGGGCACATTGTGATTTATATGCTGAAGTGAATCTCCTAAGAGAGAGAGGTACTTTGGATTGTTGGAGGGGCATCTTGCAGTTGTCTGTATGGTGTTAGGCATCTCTAATAGAAAACATTCTTTCTTTGAGAGAGAAGAACATGTGGAGAGTGTTAGCAGTTGAGCACAACACACAGTTGATTCAG